TGAGGAAGCTCAGTTTAGTGGAAAGAGTAAGGCCGTCTCATGGAGCTGGGCACCATAGGCTCAGGCACTGGGTGGGTTCTAGCACCTGGGCTCTGGTGCCCAGTTGGCCAATCACTGGCTACTTCAGTTTGAGCAAAATACATTACCTCTCTGAACTTCAGTCTCTTCATCTGTCAAATAAGGAGCTTGGACTAGGTGATCTCTAAGGTCCCTTCCAGTTCTAACATTCTGCGAGTCTGTGGGGACATGCAAATGTTGACCTTGATATGTGGCATCTAGATATGTAAATAGCATGTACTTCCAGAGTATTTAAGAACACAGTGGCTGGTTACCAACCCATTCCTAGAGAAAGGTAGGTAGACACTAATATGACCATTTTACAGGTGAGGAAACTGAGGCCTTCAAAAAAGGGTAAGCTCGGGTTTCTCAATGAGTTGAGGGTAAAGTTTCATTTTCCTGGCCCAGGATCCCAGGGCTTTGGCCATGACTGATCACAATTTTTAAAGGCAGGGCTTTCAACACCAAGGTAGGTCTAGCAGCCAGGTCTTGTCAGAGGAGTATGGATCTGGTGTCCCCCTAACTCCTTAACCTCCCTAGGGGCTCAGCCTTCCTCAAAAGTCTTCTCCTTTGTTCCCTCAGATATAAACCTTCCGTCTCTATCACTTTGTATTTATACTTATCTGTCAATACATCCTACCATCCTTTCCTTTCTGAGTAGGATTCAAGTTCTTGAGGGCAGGGACTGTGTTGCTTTTATATTTATTTTTTTAGTGCCTAAAAGAGTGGGTTTGTGGAAAAAAAAGATTAGTTTTTGGTCTGGACCCGTGATTTCATCAGCGTAGGGAGCTTCCCTGCAAGGAAAGTCCTCTCATGATACAGATCATCAACTCTTTACATCTTATAGTCTCAGGATGATTCTACAGGCACAAATTAAATGACTTGCCAGGGGTCACATAGCCAGTCTGGGTCAGAGGTGGGACGTGAGACATAATAGACTATGAGCTCATTCAGGGCAAGAACTTTTTTTTTTTGCCTTTTTTTTTTTTTGTAGGGGGTGGGGGTGGGGATGGGGGGAGATCCCTAGCACTTAGCACAGTGCCTGGTGGTCTAGTGGCTAGGATTTGGCACTTTCACCGCAGCAGCCTGGGTTCAATTCCCAGTCAGGGAACTATATGAAGAGGTCTAGAGGTTTGTGGGGTACTGCTGGGAACCCCCAAGATTGCAATGCCGGGCCCTGTCTGCAAGAATTCAACTCAAATCTTCTTCCAGCCAGAGGAAAAGTTTATTAGTGATAAATCACATAGGCCAGGTGAAGCCCATAAGGATGAGCAGGCATGAGAAAGTCAGCCTTTTGGGCATGAGATTCTCAGCATCTGAATGGGGGCCAGGGTGGATTTTTTTATACACTGAAGTAAATTTGGGTGGCCAAAGAAGGGGGCTGGAAGGGAGAGGTTTGATCAAAAGGTGAGGCTAGGGCTTTCAAAGGGAGATAAGGGGAGTAGATAAGGAACCTAACAGTTTAAGGGTTTTCTGGGGCCTGTAGACAAATGGGAATAGATAATGAGAGGAACTGGAAGGAAGAAGTTCGAAAGGCATAAGATCAAAGGGTAGAGCTAGGGCTTTCAAAGGGAGATAAGGAGCTGGGGCCTGTAGACAGATGGGAGCCAGATTCCCATTGGTACAAGGGGTGCAGATCTCTGCTTGAGCCTACGCTCCATCAGTAAGTATTTAATAAATAAAATATGTGTTGAATTGATTTGTTTCCACTAGGCTATGCTTCTTCCTACCTGGCCCATAGTAGGCACCTAACAAATGCTGGATCTATCAATCAATCAGCATTTATTCAGCACTTCCTATGTGCCAAGCACCATGTTGATTGATCAATGTGGCCTAGCTTATGGATTATTGTTACAGTGGGAAGCCAGGACTAGCCCATCTTTCAGGCTCCCCTTACCTCCTTCTTCATTAGGAGGCTCTCACCTCAGCCTTGGGTGCAGAAAGGAGCTTGCCTCTGACCCAAGCTTATGGTGTATCCCAAAGGTAAACTGGCATATATGGGACACAGCTCTTTTGGAAATCATTTGGGAGGCATGATTCCAGGGTTATGATGATTTCATGTTAAATCTAAGGATAGTAAAACCTCATTTAACCAGAACTTAATGGCAGTAACTGGAACCTTCAACTAATTTTTTAAAAAATCATTCTGTTAATGGAATCCACTTATAGGATAAAGAGGCAAATCATAAGAAATGTTTAAATTAGCTTCTCTTCCTCCTCCATATGGTCTCAGAAAGACAGGTTCAAGCTCTACCTCTGACACCTATTGGCTCTGTGACCCTGACCTCCTCATACCTAGAACACCTACAGTCTTAGGGAAAAATACGTTGCACTGGTAATAGGTGTTTCCTTGAGTTACAGATGCATTGTTGATCTTGTCCATGTTAGGAGTTCCCATACAAAGGAATTTCTTATGCTGGTGGAATCATAGGGCTGGCCAACAAGAGAGGTTATTACTATTATTCCTACTACTTTATAATACTACTATTACCTCTGCTCCTGCTACCCCATCATTGTCTGGTACCATATCATGACATGGAGGTCTTGAAAGCTACTCTAGCAGGTCCTAATCTGTAGCAGGTCCTGCCAAGCTGGAAAGACTTTGAGTCTACTTGTCCCTCGAGACCCAGCTAAATTAAGACAAGGAAGCTGATCACTAGAGGACTGGCTATAATGTGACTTTTTTTTTTTAAGGTGAGGAGGAGACAGCAATTCCTTCTTTCCTCCCTTCTTCCCTCCTACTTTCCTATTCCTTTCCTTCTTCCCTCCTACCTTCCTAATCATTTCCTTCCTTCCTTCCTTCCTTCCTTCCTTCCATCCATCCGTCTCATCTATTCACACATGGAGGGGGTTGCATCCAAGAGGGGAGGATCCATACAGACGAACTCATGGAGTTTGTAGAACTGGAACAATGGCCACTGATGTTCGCTGAGGTATCGGGTCATAGTAAAGAGCAGTGGCCTTGAATTCCAAAGATCCCGTTGCACCACTTATTACTATCTAACTTAGGACAAGTCCCTTTACTTCTCAGACCTTCAGTTTCCTAATCAGTAAAATGGGGCTAACAATACTCTCCACTTCACAACATTGTTGTGAAGGAAGTGCTTTGTCAACCCTAGAGCATTATGCAAATGTGAGTTATTATAGAATCACAGAATCTCTGAGTTGGATGGGACCTCAGGAACCACCTAGTCCAACCTGATTCTGAGTAAGAATCCACTCTGGGATATGCCCAATGAATGGTCATCTGGCTTGTGTTTGAAGACCTCTAGTAAGGGCAAACCCACTCTCTTCTGAGTAAGTCTGCCAATTACACTTTAGGAAAGCTTTAATTGTTAGGAACTGTCCTCTTGATAGCAAGTCTAAATTAGGAACTTTTACTCATTGTCTGCTCTCTGGGGCTAAACTTAACGAGTCTAATCCATCTTTCACATGATGTCCTTTAAAATATTTGTATTCAGCTCTCCCATCATGCTCTGGATCTTCTCTGAGCCAAGCATCGCCACTTCCTTCCACACATCCTCAGATGGCGTGAACCAATGTTCTTCATCATCCTGGTGGCTTTCTAGCTTGATCATCTCTAGCTTACCAGTCTCCTTCTTGAAATGTGTTATTTGGAACTGAACTAAATATTCTAGGAATGGTCTGATAAGAATTACCCACCCTCACCCCCCACCCTCCATCTAAAACAGTTCACTTCTCTTAATGCTTCCTGAACACCGCATCAGCCATATTTTAATGTTTTTGTTATTATTGTTGAATGATGGGAGTACTATTTGGATAGAAGGTTGTAAACTTCAAAGTGGGCTGAGGGAAAATAGGCCCACTGTTGGTACAGCTGTGAATTGGTACAACCATTATGGAAAACAGTTTAGAATGACACCCTAAAAGTCATTAAACTGTCTTTCTCCTCTGACCTATCTATGGCAATGAGGCCTAGATCCCAAAGAGATCAAAGAAAGAGGAAAAAGGACCTATATGTATAAACATATTTGTAGCAGCTCTTTTCATAGCAGCCCCCCAAACTGAGGGAGTTTCCTTCTGTTGGGGAATGGCTAAATGAATTGTTGTGTATAGATGTAATATAATATTACTGGGCTACAAGAAATAATGGAATGGACAATTTTAGAGGAGACTGAGACTACCTCTGTGAACTGAAGCAGAGTAAAGAGAGAAGGACCAGGAGAACAATTCATACAATGACAACAGCATTATAGAGAAACATAACTTTGAAATGCTGAAGAACTCAGATCAGTGTGAAGACAAGACAAAACTGCGGAAGACTGGAGATGAAACACCACTAATCTCCTGCCTGACAGGTGATAGACTTAAAATACAGAGAGGGACATATATTTTTGGACATGGCCAATGTGGGAATTTGTTTTACTGAACTATACAGGTTTATGATCAGAATTTTCCCTTCCTTTCTTCTTTCCTTCCTTTTCCCCTCTTTTCCTTCCCTCCTTCCTTCCTATTATCTCACAGTCTTAGAGTTGGAGGAGCCATCTAGTTTAACCCCTTCCTGGATATGCCCAGCATGTCCCAAATGGTTCTCCACTGACTTAACTGACAATCTCTAGAGAGATTCTTTCTCTCTCTCCAACTTCCAAGGCAGCCCATTCTATTTTGGGGTGAACTCTAATTCCTGGAAAGTATTTAGAATGTGGGTTCTGAAGTCCTGAATGATCTTTGGGTATTATACACATATTAAATTAAGTAGACTTCATTTATTAAGTTAAGGAAGTAAACTTGGTTTTTATTTTTTTTTAGATTTTCAGCGAGTAGGATTGAAAGAAACAAAAGGGAATTTCCGTTTAAGCTTCAGTTAAAACCTTCTCTTCCCTTCCTCACCCCCTCCACCCCTCCACACACACACACACACCCCAGTAACAACAACAACCCACTTAGCCTATATCTAAGCAGTTTAGAACATGTTTACTTACAGTCTTTGATTGAGGCCTTGGTTTCATCAACATCATTAAAAAAGGAATAGCCTAGGGTACAAAAAACAAACAACAAAAAACCACGAGAAACAACAAGCAAACAATTCAGGCTTGATTTGGCAAGGACTCTAGGGCCATGAAGGACTAGGCATTATAGTAGGGGTAGAGAAGAGAGGGAGAAGAGGTCAAGAATATACATCTCCATCGATGGGACACTTTTATATAAGCTAGAGGAGGTCACTTGGTCCTAATAGGTCCATTTTTAAACCATCCTATATATGTGACAATAAATCAAATGTCTGTGATTTTCTGGGTGAGAATTCCTTCCACCAGAGCAGATGGCAACCTCTCTATAACTTGGTAGATAAGTATTGGCAGAGAGTTTCCTGAGGCTCAGAGAAATTAAATGACTTGCCCATGGCCACTCGGCAAGTATCGATGTCAGGATAGGTTTCCTGGTTCCAGGTCAAGCACACTACTCGCTGTGCCATACTGCCTCTCTAGACGGGTGACAATGTACTCATTTTCAAAGACTTCTGGAAAAGATTCCCTAAAGCATGGCTACGCCGCAATCCAAGTACAGCTTTGGTGGGAGGTACTGGTGCTTAGTAATGTTGGTTCAATGAGTTTGGGTTGAATAGATGGGCCCAAGAGTCTGGAGACTAGACCCAGATCAACCATCAATTAGTCACTTCTGTTTGCTGCATCTCAACTTACCCAGGACATCCAGGAAAGGGTTAAACTAGATGGCCCCTCCAACTCCTAAGAGTCTGAGATAATAGGAAGATAGGAAGGAAAGAAATCTACCTTAGCTACAAAATTATCTCTGTGCTTCCTTCTACCCTTAAAGCCACTTTAAATACCATACCAGGTAGAAGGTATGTGGCATAAACCCCAAATACTAGAGGTAGGAAGGTGTTACAGAAAAGACACATTGGATTGGGAAACAGAAAACTTGGGTTCTAATTCCAGCCCTGCTACTTACTATATGTGAGATTTGGGAGCAAGTCCCTTCCCCTCTCTTGGCCTCAGTTTCCCAATCTGTAAAGTGAGGCACATGGACTGGAGAATCTCTTCATTTCCCTTTCAGATCTAGGAAACCTAGAACCTAGGAAAATGTGAGCTTATAAAATGGGCAGGGAACGTGATTATTCCATATATTATGTAACTAGATTTCATTTGCTGAAGACTAATTGTTTATTCCATCTAGACTTTGACTGATAAACCAGCAACATTTGCTTTTGTGCAATTCTAGGTATCAAAGTACAAGGAAAATGCGATAGGCAGACAGGGTTGTTTTTCATGCTATCTCTATCAAAAAATTTGCCAAGGGACAGTCATTTACAGGGTGTCCCCAAAGACTTTTGGAACACTCTGTGTTTAAAAAAAAAAACCTGGTCTGGGAGTATGACACAGTGGAAAGAACCTGGATTTAGAATTAGAAGACCTGAATTCAAATCCTACCCCTGCCATTTACTACAAGTGTGACCTTGGGCAAATCACTTTCCATCTGCAAAATAAGGAGGTTGAACTGGAGGGCCATGTCAAACTGAGGGCCATGGGACTCTTGTGTCAAAACTCCTAAACCAGATTAAAATGTAATTGGGAAATGTTTAACAAAATAAATGAAAATACAACGAAAGGTAGATAGTGTCACTTTGTGGCTTTCTGAGTCAATACGTGGTCTGTAGGAATCTAGTTTCTATTTAGGTTTGACATCAGTGGCTGGTTGTCTCCCAAGATTCCTTCCATGTCTGTGACCCTGGAAAGATCTGGATTCCTTTCCTGAGCTGTGCAAGCCTGGACAACACACACGCAGAGCTTCCATGGGCCTTAGTTGCCTCATCTTTCGAATGTGGCTAATAAAATGGATTCCATCAGCTTAGATTCAAAGGACTCCTAGTGTGGGCAGTGCTTCTACCAGGGTCTGTGACTTACCAGTGAGAATCACATACAGATTTGGTGACTTGGCTAAGATAACACACCTAGTAAATGTCAGGATTTCCCAACTCTAAATCCAGCCCTCTATCCATTAGGCCAAACTACCTGTATGGTGGTACATGAACTCAGTAGCTCCTGAAAATGTGGGGAAATGAGAGATGAGATGTGAGAGTGCTTTAAAGGCGATAGGTAACTAGACGACAAAAGTAAGGTATTTTGTAATGTTGGCTGTTCACCAAGCAAACACTTCCCTCTCACTGGAAGCCTTCAAGCAAAGGTTGGATGGCCCTTTTTTCATAGCATCCGAGGGAATATTTTTTCAGGTCGTCATTAGATTACATGGCCACTGAGGGCCCATTCAGTTCTAAAATTCAGGGATGCTTGCAAATCCATCTTCATTATGAATCCTACTCTAAATGAACTTTCCCCCCCTTACTGAATTTTTATTTATTTTGTTGGACATTTCCCAGTTGATTCAGGCTACACTCTGAGATTTTGATGCCTCTGACCTAAACAGAGGGCATGATTGTAAATTCCTTTTGATCAATTTGGCCTAAAGTAAGCAATCATAGAATCATGGAAGGCAAATCAGAGACCATCTGTCCAGCCTCCCACCCGGGATAGAAATCCCTTTTGCAGCACTCTTGACAGATGACAGTAGAGTATGTGCTTAATTATATACAGGCAGGTCACACGGCCTCTCTCAACCTCAGTGTCCTCATCTGTGAAATGGGGGTGATCATTTTCACTCTTCCTGCCTCACAGGATTGATGTTAGGGAAGAACTTTGGAAATGATAAAATACTAGATAAATGTGAATTTTTGTGCAGAGGAAAGAATGCCGGATTTGGTATCAGAGGGTCTGGGTATGACTCTTAGCTCTGCCCTTTACTACTTGTGTGAAAGCTCACTTCATCTCTCTATGACTCAGTTCTTCATCTGTAAAAACAAGGCGGGGGTTGGGCTGGATGGCCTCTGAGGTCCCTTTCACGCCAAACTTGTCCTCCTATGATCATCGTTTTCTCCAGTGACTGGGAGCCAGGAAGACTTAGGTTCCCATGTCTGAGACTCCATGAATTATCTATAAAATGGAGGGTGTAGACTTAAGGACCCCAAGGTCCCTTCCAGCTCTTAATCTATGATCCACTAAACACTCAGTGTAGTGTCTGGCACATAGTAAACAGATGCTTACTGGATGTTTATTGATTGATTGGACTAAGAAACGTCCGTTCCCCAAAAGGTCAAGAGCTGCCGGGGTAGGTGTTAAGAAGTTTCAGTCGTGCTCTTGGCGCCACCTTCTGGCAGTTTGGTGTATGAACACATTGGGAGGGAACTGTAATGGAGCCTCCATTAACTGGAATGCAAGCGCCTAAGAACTGGGTCCTGGTTTATTGAATGGTTTGGTTAACCGAGATAAGAGAAACCCATTTTGTCCTGGATTTGTTGTGGCGAATTTTTATCCAGTATCTACTGAGTAGAGCCCAATCTTCCTTTGCTATCTGTCGATCTCAAAAAGCCTCCAGTAATTATTCTAATGGTGAATTCTCATTATTCATTCTTGTCACTAAAGATGAAGAAAATGATCGGGCTGCATCCGGTCTGACTCCAGGAAATCCCCTGGAAGGATGATTTCTTTTTTCATGCTAAATCTGAAAAAAAAAATGCTTACTTTCTCATGATTTGCCCACTTCTCTTAGAAGTGGAATATTGCCAACAGATTTCTGTGATTGGAGTTTTTTCTGTATTGAAATCCTGATGGCCTAGATAGGTATGGAAAGCACTCAGCACTTGGGATGAAATGATAATACTAACAGTAATAACTAGCATTTATATAATGCTGTAAGGTCTGCAAAACGGTCTACACATATCTCATTTTATCCTCATAGCAACCCTGGAAAGTCTGTACTGTCATTAATTTATTTTGGCTAAGCAATGGGGTTAAGTGACTGGACCAGGGTCACACAACTAGTAAGAGTCAAGTATCTGAGGCTGGATTTGAACTCAGGTCCTCTTGACTCCAAGGCTGGAGCTCTATGCACTACGCCACCTAGCTGCCCTATTAATCCCCATTTTCCAGATGGGGAAACTGAGCCATATAGAGGTTAAGTGGCTTGCCCAAAGTCATACAGCTAATCAGTGTCTGAGACCAGTTTTGAACTCGTCTTCTGGTTCTAGGTTCAGCTACTGCCCAACTGCCCCTAGAGTTACTTGGCTTAGGAAAACTAAGATTAGGGTTGATCTGAAGTCAAAATGCCCTGAATTGAAATCCTGCCTCAGGTGCTTACTAGCTATATGACCCTGAGTAACCTCTCTCAGACTCAGTTTCCTCATCTGTAAAATGGGGGTAATAATAGCACCTAACTCCCAGGGTTGTGTTGAGGATCAAATGAGTTAATATTTATAAAGTGCTTTGCAAACCTTTAAGTGTGAGATAAATGCTAATTGTTATCATTAATTGTAGAATCACGGACCTTCGTTATCATCCTTTGTAACTGAAGAGGACCAAAGTGACGTCATGATGTCAAGGTCAACGTACAGTGTTTCTAGCTGTGGCTGATCAAACCAATAGGAGCTTGGAAGGCTCTACCATAGGTTGGGCACAAATGGTCCGTACGAGCATTTGGGAAGGAATGTTATTATTAACCAGAGGACCATGGTCCTAGAGGTAGGAGGGTCTCAGAGTCCATCTAGCCCAGCCCTTTCATTTTACAAACAAGGAAGCTGAGGCCGAGACCGAGTAACTTGCCCAAGGTCACCCAGCTAGTCAACCGGAGCCTCACACCCCTAAACACTGACCTTGCGTGCGGATGTTTTGGAGAATGAAGTACAGACACTCCCCCGCAGACCCCAGCTGCGTCCACAAACTCCTCCTGGCTCATGCTACACAGCTGAAGTCCATTGATGTTGAAATGGCAGAAGGAAATGGAGTTGGCATCCAACTTGTACTGGTCACAGCAGAACTGAAGCCACTCCCACACGTGGCGCTTCGTCCAGTACTCTGGAGGGACAGATGTCCAGTAGGAGTCACAGGCTAGAGGACAGAAAAGGGAGATTCAGAGGACAGCTTTTCCTGAAGGTCACTCAGGGCTGTTCTCTATGAGCGTGTGCCAGGAGGGGGATGAGCTAAAAGTACCGTCCCCCTCTTACCATTCCTACCTCCTGCCTTGCCAGACCCCTCCCCATGGTAAGTTGCTCAGTCGTACAGCCAGACCCAAAACAGCCCTTTAAAGGAAGGCAGAAAACAAGAGGGGACTGGGTGGTATGAAACCAAGGTCCAAATGGGGAGTCACCATCATATCAAAAGAAGACTTCCTAAGGATTGTATCCTGGGTAAAACTGTAAATAATACCCTTTCACACCTCAAAACATTTTTTGACTTTATAAAACATACCCATTAGGTACAAGCCCAAGAAAAAGTCCCTCAAACCAACTGTTTAAGGATAAATTCAGTGAAGCCGAGTAAAAGGATGGGATAGACAAAGGTTCTGGGACATAGTAAGTTCTCTCCTCCTGGGTGGAGAGAGTTCACCTGGAGGAAAGAAGCATCTGTCATCTGGTACCTTCCTATTTTAATTCATTATTCTGGCTAACGAGGTGCTAGGCTCCATAGTGACGGCTCTAAGATTCCTTCTCTAAATTTCAGTGCCTTGGGTCAATACACAAATTGCCCAGCCCTAGTTATAACTCTGGTCCTCAGGATGGAAATGAGGTTAGAAGCAATGGAATCCTGCCATAGGCTCAGAATCCTGAGGCCCATCTCTAATGTAAAGTACAGAGTGATTACTTTAGGGGAAAAAAATAAAAGGAAGAAGAAAAAAAAGGTACTTTGTTTTGCTTCAGATGTTCTCAGGGCCTATTCTGGGAGATTACTTAATACTGGCAAGCTCTTCTTGGGATTCTCTTGCCAAGTTCTGCCTTTCCTTACCACAGAGTCATTCTCTGGCATGCTGGATTTTTCCTGGATCCCTAACAGACCCTATCTCACCATAGCAGATGTCTCTTAGAAAGGAGAGGTGGGGATGCTGTGGGGAAGTGGGGAGATAGGTCAAGAGGAGACCTTTGTCTTTGTTTCAGGACTTTTCCCACTTTACCCGATTTCTCTTTCTTTGGAAACCTAGGCACTAACAGAGGCTCAGTGGATTCTGGGATAGAGAGGGTGGGAGCTGTCATGGTTTGATCAAAGGCAGAAGCCAAGTTGCCAACACACCCATAATGGCACAGGGAAGGAGGAAGCCAGGAAAATTAGCAAGGATGGGAGGCCCAGTGCGTGCAGGGGATGCAGGAGAAAGAAGGGATAGAATGCTCAGCAAATAGCTGTGGGAAGAGGCCAGCGTATCTCGTTAGTACAGATTGCTCACAGTCTATCCTTGTTAAGCATCACAGTACTTAGGCTGTGCCTATCTTTCAGGGAACAGCTAGGTGACGCCATAGTGCTTAGAGGACTGGGCTTGGAATTAGACTCATCTTCATGAGTTCAAATCTGGCCTCAGACACTTATTAGCTGTATGACCCTGGACGAGTCCCTCCATCTTGTTTGCCTCAGTTTCCTCATCTGTCAAATGAGCTGAAGAAGGAAATGGAAAACTACTCCAGTATCTTTGCCAACAAAACCTAAAATGAGGTCATGGAGATTTGAACATGACTTGCTCTTCTCCTGTTGTTATTCTGTCCCCTGGGACCAAATGGAAGAAGGAATGACTGAATGAAAAAAAATTGTTAAGCTCTTATTTTGTTCTTAAAGCACTATGCTAAGTCTTGAGCATACAAATAAAACATTAAGTTAGGAAGGCTCAAAAAGAGCTCACATACTAGTGAGGGAGATAACACATATGGGAGGTTTTAGCTGCAAGGCAGATGGAAAGGTCCCATGGTCCTTGGGGTGCAGCAGTCAAGCAGATGGTCAGGTCTCTTCTTTGCTCTTCTTTTCACTGACAAAACCATCTCTTTCTGATGTTGAATCATTTGATGTTGCCAAGGACTTTGGTGGGGAGACCTTTCTTTTCAGGGTCTTTGTAGCTATGGCTGCTGAGAAGGCAGGGCCACAGCACCTGTGGAGGTAATTGCTGGGTTAGGTCTTTAGACATATTGCTTTCCTGGGTGATGGCTGCAGTGCCGAGGCTGGAAGCAGGGCCGGGGATCTTGGAGGCCTTTCTATTCCCAGGATTCTGGGTTCAGGGGTTCTAGGCTATTTCCACTGGGCATCAGTGATCAAGGTGATAACCATGGTTTGACTTGCTAGGGCACATGCCATCTTTCCTGTAGGGGGCCTTGATCCTTTGGCCATACTAACTAGCCTGCCCATAGGTGACAGGTGGTAGGGATGATCAGCCTTTTCTCCATAGCGATGACTTGCCTAGATGGTGACTTCAGGGGCTGGGCTAGAAGAAGAGCTGGTGGTCTGGTGGGTAGGGAGGGTATTGGTACTTCCATAGCTCTGGGCAGTATCCATTGGGCACTGAGAGGAAGGAGTGGTTGGAGTGGTTTGACCACCTCCTGCCTCTTCCTCCTTCTTCCATATGACAGATATTCAAGAATTTAAAGATAGACATTATGTTGCCAGGCCTCCTCCCTTAGTCTTCTCCTCTCCAGGGTAAAGAACCCCTGCTCCTTCAACCAATTCACATATGGCATGAACTCAGCATCTTCCACCATTTTGGATGCCCTCCTATGGACAATTTCTCATTTATTAATATCCTTCTCAAGCTTTGGTTCTCAGAACTGAGTACAACAGTGCAGGTATGAACTGCCTGGGGTACCTGTGTGCTCCTTCATGCTATAATTGATTGTCTCCATGGGTTGTTCAGTCTCCAAAATTCATTACATGGTAGCCAACTTTCTGGGGACATCTAGATGGCTCAGTGGACAGAGCTCAGGCCTGGAGTCAGGAGGACCTGAGTTCAAATTTGACCTCAGACCCTTACTAGCTGTGTGACCTTGGGTAAGTCACTTCACCCTGTTTGCCTCAGTTTCCTCATCTGTAAAATGAGCTGGAGAAGGAAATGGCAAACCACTCCGGTATCTTTGCCAAGAAAACCCCAAATGGCATCGCAAAGATTCAGACGTACCTAAAACCAGCTAAACAAACAGCCAGCCTTGTGGTGACAGAGCCTTTATGAACTTGGGATGGTCTTCATATAACAGACATAGCTATCTCAGCTAGGCGACACAGTACATGTAGTGTTGGGTTTTGCTGTCAGGAAGACCTGAGTTGGAATCCTACCTCAGCACTTAGATTTGTGACTTGTATAGCAAATCACTTAACTGCTTTTAACCTCCCTCTCCTCCTCTGTAAAATGAAGAGCACCTGGGCTTTGCAAACCTCGAAGGGCTATGGAAATTCTAGCTATGGTGGCCATTCTCCGTACTCATAGCCTGCCCATTCTGGCAGAACCTGCTTAAGCTTCCACTGTTAGAATTGCCCAGCTCCCCATACCACAATGAAACACCGGAGAGGACTTTAATGGAGGAGTACATAAACTTGATGTTAATCTGCTTAATGCTTAAAGAAAGCATCTTTCTTTCCCCAACCATTATCATCTCTAAAACAACATTTATGAATAAATAAGCATGGCCAGTCCCTGATTGATTAGGCGCTCAGTTTCCTTGCCTGTAAAATTAGAGAGATGGATGCCTTGATTTTTTGAGGTGCCTCCCCACCCCATATTTTATGATCCCATGAACAAAGGCAGCTCCTACGCCACAGTGCAGGAAGAGAGGAGCTTGAAGACCTAATCTCTAGTCTTATCTTTGCCACCAACTTGATCCTGAGCAAGTCATTTCCCAGCTCTTGGCTTCGGTTTGCTCTCAAGTCAAATGAAAGCATTGACTTTGGGGGGAGGAATTTGAGGGGAGGAGCAGCACAAAGACTCAGGAGAGCATCAGCTAGGGAGGGGAGGGGTGGCAAACCGTGTGGGGTCTTTCAGTCCAGGATTTCAGTCTAGTTTGGCTAATTGTGTGGCTAGAAGCAAGACACTCAGCTCGCTAGGCATCTCTCTAAAATGAGGCAGCTGGAAAAGACCAGAGGGGTTGAACACAAGGCACAACCTGAGACAGATTAAAATGCAATTGGGAACTATTTAAGAGAATAAGGAAAAATGCACTAAAACATAGATAACATTACACTGAAAACTAGGTCAATATGTGGCCTGCAGGGAGCCTTGGGTATGGATGGGTGGTCCTCGTTTCTGTCTGAGTTTGATATCATTGGACTAGACAATTGCTGACGTCCCTAAATCTACATTCCTATGACCACTAAGGTCCTTTGTGTCGCTATTATCCCCAACCACTAATGCCATCCCCTTTCAGGTTACCTTCATATGCTTTGTATATAGCTTGAATGTCCCAGTGCGTAGAGTGCTGGGCCTGGAGTCAGGAAGATTCAACTTCCCGAGTTCCAATTTGGCTTCAGATACTCACTAGCTGTGTGACCCTGGGCAAGTCATTTAACCTTGTTTGCCTCAGTTTCCTCTTCTGTAAAATGAGCTGGAGAAGGAAATGGCAAACCCCTGCAATATCTTTGCCAAGAAAACCCTAAATGGGGTCCTGAAGAGTCAAATATGACTAAAATGACTGAGTAACAACACACAAGCACATGTTTATCTATGTATATGTCTTACATTACATGTCTTCTCCATTAGAGTGTGAGAGTAGGGACTATGTGAGATTTTTAAAATTTTGTTTTGTTTGCTTTTCTTGGAATCTCTAACTCTTAGCAGAGCGCCAGACACATGATGAGCTTTTATTGACTAATTGTGGTTCATATACCAAATATATGCCATAATTAAATCAGTAATGTCATTGTTCCTGAAAAAGTGTTTTAATTGACTCCATTGTGATTCAATTTACCGTCCCTGAAAATGTTTAGAACCAAAGTACCCCTCCCAGGACACCACTAGAATATAAGCTCCTCGAGGGCAGGAATTATCTTTTTTTTTGATGTCCCCAGAGCTGAGCATGACGCTTGGAGAGTGCCTGATAAATGCTTCTCTATCCGTTCATTCAGATCTTGGTGACACCTCCTTGGAGAGAGCT